ACCCGCCGATGTTTATAACCAGCGGTTACGACAAAGAACTCTCAAAATGGACGTCGCGTTGGCCCGACTCTATCGTATTGAATCGATTGCAAGTGTTGGCCACCGCTGCCAAAGACACACTTGTGTCAGAGATCAATGAAAACGTTGATTTTGATCCCAAAGTACAGTCCGAACAGACAATTGTTATTCCGTTCTCAATATTCAATATAACATTTGTTTTATTCAATTATATTTTCAGATCATATTTAGACCAGATTTGGATATTTATGATGTCGTGATTCAACTAAAATCTGATCAAATCGTTAATCAAATACAAGCGATTGATTTCCCACCGAAATTCGAGTTTACAATCAAAAAGTTTGATCCAGAAGTGAACGAACGGTTGCCAATCGTAGACTTTGATCCCGTGGACCGATATGTGCGACAATTACGTGACTCTTATGGCGATTACGCGCTGTTCTTCTACGACCGTTTCGGTGGCCGCGAGATCGGTGTTCTCTGGAGGCCGTCAGTGTTCGAGTGCGAGCCCTTCTGCACGGCGTCGGCCGCCAAATGCCGGCGAATGTCCGGCACAGCGGCCGCTAATGGCGTTCCCAACGTTGGCACTAATATTGACGCCATTATTGAGGACTTTAGCATTTTGGGCGATGGCATCGTACGGGACGTACACATCAACACACATAACTCGGCATTGAATTAAATGATTATTTTGTGTTAAAAAGTTAATTTTATTATATATTTATATATAGTAACAGATTTTATGGCTAATTGGGGGTTAAATTATATGAAAACATTGTTTCCAATTAATGCCAAACAATTAACACTCAAATTATATCTCTCGATCCAAAGCCCGTATTATTTCATTAAACTATACATTGAAAACAATACATGATAACTATTGCAGTCATAATAATAGAAAAATAAGTTATATATTCAATGAGTAATACAATTATAACATAAAATATCATTTTAGTGGTCAGTAGTGATGGCGAGCTTAGACACGGCATTGGAACCGATGAGTTGGTTAAGTCTGACCACTTCGCGAGACATTGAGTCCAGATTCTGCTGCAAATGCATGTTCTTCGTGAGGGTCTCCTCAAGCATTCGCTGCACTTTGCGATTGATTTCCCT